GGAATAATTGGTGGGAACGGTTAGGGTTTTAAACTTGGAAGTTGAAGGAGAATTTCGCGGCCAGGTTGAGAATTCGATTATGGTTGGATTTTATTTCTTTCATATTTTTACACATATAATTAACAAATTTATATTTGAACTATTTTTTTTTATCTTATTTGTAAAAATAAAAAAAACAGTACAAAATTATATATATAGATATACTAGTATAATTGCACGTGCATTTAATGCACGTTAGTAAAATTTAAATAATTAAGTAACATTATTAAATTAGAAATATTATTTAATTAATTCATTTTTTTAATAAAGAGATGTAATAAAAAAAAATTATCATTACAAGTAACTGTAACAACAATTATATTCCTACTTTAACTAAATTAAGATTTTAATAAAATAACAATAAAAATTATATTATTAAAACAAAATTGATAATGTGGTAAAAACTTTATATTAGAATATTCTAAAAAAACAATAATGATTGAATTTAGTGATTTTGGATGTGCTTTTACATGAGTATAATATATAAATATTAATGCATATTACATCCGTCTCAAAAATTATTTAAAGACTTTAATATTAGTCATAATAAAACTTTTAGAAAGGAAATACCGCATAATTGTTAAACATTTTAATATAATGTATATCAATAGACAAGTTGGGATATTTTCTCTGAGATGTCAACCCTAGTTTCTAATTACATCTAGATCAGAAGTAAGGATATAAAATATATATTGTAGTTTTATATTTCTTTTATAAATATGCAAGCATTCTTTCAAAGTAGTTATAATTGAGGATGCTAATTTAAGAAGATATTATAAAAAATTGAATGATACCTTCTAAAAAACAGAATGAAAAAAAGGAAGTAACTATATACTTTCATCGATTGGGGATGATAGACTTCTTAGAAAATTAAACAACAACATAAAAATTTTCATATCATTATGTATAAATAATAAAAATCAATTATATAATAAAAATAATCAATGTCACTATATAAAATACAAGGGTTTAAATATCTTAAAGCCTCTAGCACTATTAATATTTGATGTGGATCCTTCTTCTCACGTTATGCTGCAGGAATACCACACCTAGAACCTTATTTCTTTTTTATTTCTTTTTACTGTTTGCTGCATAATCCCACTACTTATATTACTAAATATAGTATTAGAGGACACTCACACTTTTTCAGCTGTTAGCACTCTCTTAGTAAGGCATCCCCGCTTATATGAGGTGGGTTGAAGCTTCAGGAAGTAGCTTTTGATATACAGAATATACTCACTGTTTAGTGTTTACTGTTTTATTGCTTTTGCTAGTTCTCTGTTTCTTCCTCCTTAGTTGCTACCACTGCACGATTGGTATCAGAGCAAGGTTGGGGCAGCAATGGCGGAGAGCAGTAGACGACCCGCTCTTGACGGCGATCAGGGCGAAGGCGCTTTGTGGGCGAATCAGCCGCTGATCCTTAAACAGTTGGAGGAACTCAAGAATGAGTTTCGTCGATTCACCACAGAAGTGCGATTGGAGTTTCAAAGCATCAAGGGCGGAGGCACAATGTTCAACTGCCACAACCACCTACTTCTCCAATCTACAGAACAGCTCCCCGGCGAGGCAGGGGCGGACGACGTGCGCGGATGGAGGTGCCGCAGTTATCGGACTCAGACGTCGATCTAGCGTTCCAGCAGCTTGAAGATGTATCGGACCCAGGTGAGGAAGACATTCCACGATACTTTTCACCACCTCGGCATCGCCAGGAGGCTTGGCCGAGACAGCATGGAGAATTCTGAGTAAAAATGGACATTCCATTTTTTGATGGAAAACTACACATAGAGGATTTTCTAGATTGGGAACATGCCGTGGAGACGTTCTTTGAATATATGGATATTCCCCAAGACAAGCAAGTAAAATACGTAGCGTGCCGATTAAGATGTGGTGCGAGTGCGTGGTGGCAGCAGTTGTTACAAGCTCGGCACCGGGAAGGAAAAGGCAATGTCCGAAGTTGGACAAGGATGAAGCAACTCTTGCGGAGCCATTATTTACCCACAGATTATGATCAAATACTGTATATGAAATTTCAGCATTGTATGCAAGGACAGCGGAGTGTGAGCGAGTACACCGAGGAGTTTTACCGCCTCAGTGCTCGCAATAATCTGAACGAAACTGCTAATCAAATAGTTGCTCGCTACATCTGCGGACTGAAAGAAGCTATTCAGGACAAATTGGAATTGAATTCGGTGTGGTCACTGTCGCAAGCGGTCAATTTCACACTGAAAGCTGAAATGCAGCTCAACCGACCAGCTCGCCCCATGCCATCCTGTCGTCACTTCAATGACTTCGCCACTACAGACAATCGGGAGCAAGTGCCTAATCTAAGCAGCAGCTCAAAATCTATTTCCAAGACTTCAACAGTGACCAACCCGGCTCCACAAGCTGCTGAAAACAAAGCTGCCAATCGGATGAAGGCTCCAGCCAAGGACAATCCTTATAGCAGACCAACCACATTGAAATGTTCCAGGTGCTTCCAGCCAGGACATAAGTCCAATGAGTGCCTGAATCGACAACAATTGCAGCTTCTTGAGGGGGAGTCGGAGCTACTTAACCCGTCAGCAGAAGTTGAAGATGAAGAAGAATATGAGGAAATACCTGGAGATGACGGGGAGCCTGTCGTGTGTGTTCTCCAAAAGTTACTGTTCGCACCGACTCAACACAACAAGTCCCAACGCAATGCTATTTTCAGGACCAAATGCACTATAAAAGGGAAGGTATGTGATCTTTTAATTGACAATGGCTGTACCGAAAATATTATTTCGAGGGCAGTGGTGAATGCTTTGCAGCTTAAGACTACTAAAAACCCAAATCCTTATAGGATTAGCTGGGTTAAGAAAGGCATGGACATTCAAGTGTCTGATATGTGCAGGGTGAATTTTTCAATTGGGAAGCATTATAATAGTGAAATACTATGTGATGTCCTTGATATGGACGTGTGCCACTTAATCCTGGGCAGGCCATGGCTATTTGATACTGGTGTTGTATACGACGGGCGATCTAATGCTTATTCATTTGAATGGAAAGGACGTAAATTACGGTTATTACCGACGACACAGCGCTCAGCCGATGAAGATGTTGAACGATGTCCTGCTCTTTGCATTGTTTCTGGCAATACCTTATTAAAGGCTGGTAGGGAGTTGAAGTCAGTATTTGCAGTTTTAATTGCTGAAGAAAATCGGGAGATCAAACCGGTCAACACCCCACCGGAATTGGCACAGTTGCTGTATGAATTTTCAGATATAGTCACAGCAAGCCTACCCTCTGAATTACCACCCATGCGGTCTGTACAGCACCAAATAGATCTAGTTCCCGGGGCGTCACTACCAAATTTACCACACTATAAAATGACCCCAACAGAACACTTTCAGCTTCAGAAAATTGTAGATGAGCTGTTAGACAAATAGCTTGTTCAGCCTAGCCTAAGCCCGTGTGCGGTGCCAGCACTTTTAGTGCCAAAGAAAGATGGCTCGTGGAGGATGTGCATTGACAGTCGAGCTATCAATAAAATTACCCTCAAATATCGCTTCCCGGTTCCAAGATTGGAAGACATGTTAGATTATTGGCGGGGGCCAAAGTCTTTTCAAAGCTCGACTTGAGAAGCGGTTACCACCAGATCCGAATTAGACCGGGTGACGAGTGGAAAATCACCTTCAAAACTCGCAATGGCCTGTTTGAATGGAAGGTTATGCCTTTCAGTCTGTGCAATGCGCCAGCAACGTTCTTAAGGCTGATGACGGAAGTGCTAAAACCATTATTGGGCAAATGCTGTGTGGTTTACTTTGATGACATATTGGTATTCAGCCCATCCTTGGTAGAGCATTGGAAACATTTGCAGGAGGTACTAGAGGTGCTGCGACTCCACAAGCTATACCTGAACAAGTCCAAGTGCGAATTTGCTACCAGTTCGGTGCAGTTTTTGGGCTACATTATGTCGGCTGAAGGTGTTGGAATGGACCCCAATAAAATTCTTACTATCCAACAGTGGCCGCAACCCAGTTCTCTGACAGAAATTTGTAGTTTTCACGGGCTAGCCAATTTTTATAGGCGGTTCATTCGTGGATTTAGTATAATTATGGCCCCGATCACTGACTGCCTAAAAGCCAGTACTTTTAAATGGGGAGTCGAGCAGCAGCGAAGCTTCAAAACGATCAAATTGGCACTTACTTCAGCACCGGTGTTAGCAGCCCCGAATTTTAACAAGGCTTTTCATGTGGATACAGACGCCTCGGCAGTGGGAGTGGGCGCCGTGCTCTCGCAACACGATAGACCGGTGGAGTTTTTCAGCGAGAAGTTAAGCCCTGCAAGACAAAAGTGGTCAGCATATGAACAAGAATTATATGCGGTCATCCGAGCACTTAAACAATGGGAGCATTACCTTTTGCATAATGATTTTGTTCTATGCAGCGATAATAAGGCTTTACAGTTTCTGAATACCCAAAAAAATATCAATAGAATGCATGCTAGATGGGTTGTCTTTCTACAAAAGTTTAGCTTTGTACTTAAGCATAAATCCGGGCAGCAGAATCGTGTTGCTGACGCCTTGAGTAGGCGCTCCGCTCTCCTAGTCAAGCTTCAGACTGAGATTACGTGATTAGAGACTCTCAAAGACCTCTATTGCACGGACAGAGATTTTGCTATCCCTTGGGAGAGATGTTCCAGTGGGCAGCCCGTGGATGACTACACTTTACGTCATGGACTTTTGTTCAAAGGGAATTCGTTATGCATCCCTATTTCTTCTGTTCGTTTACAGTTGGTGCGTGAGATGCATGAAGGGGGAATGGCAGCTCACCTAGGCCGAGAAAAGACAGTAGAACAAATGCGGGCGCGATTCTTTTGGCCACATTTGCGAAGGGATGTTGCCAAGTATGTACAAAATTGCCCGGTGTGCCAAGTATACAAAGGCCATAGCCAAAACACCGGCTTATACAGTCCGTTACCAGTCCCGAGTACAATTTGGGAAGATCTTAGTATGGACTTTGTCCTTGGGCTTCCAAGAACTAAGAGGGGCGTCGACTCAATCATGGTGGTGGTTGATAGGTTCTCCAAGATGGCTCATTTTATAGCTTGCAAGAAGACGTCGGATGCACTTGGCATTGCTCGATTATTTTTCAGGGAGATCGTTCGTCTCCATGGTCTTCCGAGAAGCATCACTTCCGATCGCGACGTCAAGTTCGTTAGTCATTTTTGGAGAGAGCTTTGGAAGCAATTACAAACAGAACTCAAATTAAGCTCAGCATATCATCCCCAAACGGATGGCCAAACTGAGGTGGTGAATCGGACGCTCGGTAATATGTTGCGGTGCTTGGTGCGGGACAATCCGAAGAAATGGGACGACATTCTGAGTCAGGCAGAATTTGCATACAACTCCATGCCCAATAGATCCACCGGTATGTGTCCCTTTAATATTGTCTACACTAAACCTCCTAACCATATTGTAGACATCGCCATTCTACCTAAGTGCCAAAACCCGGCGGCCACTAAGCTAGCGGAGGACTTCAAGACAATGCTGGACAATGTTCGCAACACTTTAAAATCTTCAAATGAGCTATACAAACAATAGGTTGATGCACATCGCCGCTTCAAGACTTTCCAGCCTGGTGACATGGTCATGGTGCGCTTAAGGAAGGAGAGATTTCCAGTCGGTACCTACTCGAAGCTTGCCCCAAGGAAGATTGGCCCAGTGGCTATCAAGCACAAAATCAGCGATAATGCATATGTAGTGGAACTTCCCGCCGACATATTAACGTCCTCCACCTTCAATGTCACGGACATCAGTTCCTACCATCCAGTTGATTTGGCAGTTGTTGAGATTGATTCGTTGGATACGAATCTTTCTGTAGCGGAGGAGAACTGATGTGGATCCTTCTTCTCACGTTATGCTGCAGGAATACCACACCTAGAACCTTATTTCTTTTTTATTTCTTTTTATCGTTTGCTGCATAGTCCCACTACTTATATTACTAAATATAGTATTAGAGGACACTCACACTTTTTCAGCTGTTAGCACTCTCTTAGTAAGGCATCCCCGCTTATATGAGGTGGGTTGAAGCTTCAGGAAGTAGCTTTTGATATACAGAATATACTCACTGTTTAGTGTTTACTGTTTTATTGCTTTTGCTAGTTCTCTGTTTCTTCCTCCTTAGTTGCTACCACTGCAATATTATATATATGGAATAATTTCTAGTTTTTAACTACATATGTCATATATCTATAAGCAAAGAAAGAATATATGAAAGATGGCAGCCCATTGAGTGTGTATAGAATGATATCTTCAGGGTCTAATATATATCTGACGACATTGATGGTGTCTACTTTGAGCTTAGTGTCTGACAAATACTGCTACATTGTTTTGTTGTTCACTGAAATGTGATGCAGTTCATTCTTCAGTTGAATGATACGTGAGCAGTTTGTAGTTTGAAGTATCTTATTTATCGTTTGTCAAATTTTAACATATGAGTCAAGATTCATGACATACGACAACAAGGAAGTAGAGACAGTGGAGAACAAGGCAATTGCGAGATTATGATATATCAACACACTACAAGAAAATGGGTCAATAGCGACAAAAAAAAATAGAAACTAAAAGAAATTGGTCACTAAAGATATCTTTTAGCGACCAAAAATAAGTAAGGTCTCTAAATAATAAGTAAAATTGATATTAGCCACAAAAAAATGGCTGCTATTTTTGTCGCTAAAAGTCTAGATAATTTTTTTCAAAA